CGCTAGGTTCATCGGCTGTAGCCGCCATGGACTTTGGACTGAACTGTCGTGCTTCTCGTTGCGTCACACCTCAACCCGCCTCAAAGCCAACGCTGATTGGACGTTCGTTTGGTGAACGGCTCCAAATTTTCTTTAATGGAGAGTCTCCAGACTGATCTGCGAGTGAAACAGGATGGTCTCATGAGGCTACCAGCTTCCTCCCACAGTCCAAAAACGTGACTGTTAGGTTAATTGGCTTCTCTAAAGTCCTCTTAGGTGGGAGTGTGTTTGAATGGTTGTTTGTCCTGTCTGTTTCTGTGTTGCCCTGCGATGGATCGGCGACCTGTTCAGGGTAGACCCCGCCTCTCGCCTGTAGACAGCTGGAGATAGGCACCAGCACCCCTTGCAAACCCACCTAGGTTATTTTTTTAGATGTGCAAGATACATATTTAATCTTTAATGACTAGTAAAGCATCATTCCATTTTTAGTCCGATTGGTGACGTTTTTCCACCCTAGGACGCAAAAATCTTTGCCCATTGACTCTCGTTAAAAGTTAGGGTTCAGCTCTCCTGCATCCTGACCTGACAGGAAGTGTATATGACACGTCCCCCTAACTATAATGTCCACAACAGGTTATTTGGCTTTCATAGTTTGGCTTTAGACACAAAAAACTGATGCTTGTGTTAAATTGTAACTGTTATTCACAAATTTATATTAAATGGGTTTATAATTACATTTTAAAAAGCAAACACTTGTCTTTTAATGTTGCCTTCTTTTAAACACATGACATAAAGTAAAACCTGTACCTGGGGTCAATAACTAACACGTCATTGGGCAGGAAGCCGTTAATGATAGATGTTAAAGAAACATCTTAATCTCTAAAAAATGATCAGATATTGGTATACATCTCTTATTGGAGTGTCTTTAAACTGTTTAATAGAGATAGCCTAGATGTTCCTGACATTGCTGCTGTTCCCCCTTGTTTTCACACACACCTGTATGAACAAATCCAGCAGAGAGCAAAACCTTCTAGCTTCTAACAATTCATTTGATAAATAACACCTGGCTGTTATGTACGCACTTAAATTATCTGACAAACCTGCACAGCTGGGTTATTGGGATACATTTTCAAACCATAAACTGTACTTATATTGTTCTAGTTGATATTGTTAGATTTATAATAATGTCAGCACTAAGAGTTTTCCACCATAAATTCTCTAGGATGCAAATAAACAGCTGAACCGTTTTATTGGATGTTGTTTGGTGAGATTTATGTATATTTGATTATAATGAGAATCTGCTCATTTCTCCCTTTTTGTTAACCAAACCATATTTTATCCCCCAGAGCCTTCTAATTGGAGCGCTGTTCTCGTTTTATAATGCAGACATTAAAAGAACCACCTCCCTGGAGAAACTAAAATTGAAATACTTGCTAGGAAGCAGCGTTGCTTTGCCCTTACTTTCCCTCTCTGCTATGACCAAATAATTAGCGACCAGAAGTCTTGTCTGTTCTGACAGGTGATTTACCTAAGAAGGACTGTAACCTCTGTATGAACCTGCTCAGGCTGGCCCAAGGCTGTACAGTAACTCCCACAGTGACCTCATTCTCTGCTGTTTATTGACTTTCCAGCATGGTGGGAATATTCGGGGTGGCTGTGTTCCATATATGTATTAGCTGCCATCATAACAAATCTGTAAGTTACAGTGAATGTGCCGTGCTCCTTTTATAGAGTATGTTTTTATTTATCTTTAAGAGATTTGTCCAACCCGTGTGCCAAAAGACATTCTCCGTTTATTGTAGATAATAATCTCCATCCCTGTCCTTCGCTCCCTGCAGCGCCTTCATCCACGAGGCCAGCGACCCCTCCCAGCAGGTGCCACTGGTGGATTCAACCCTGCAGACTCCGGTGGGCCTGGCTCTGGACTGGCTCCAACACAACCTGTACTGGACCGACTCAGGAGACAAATCCATCTCTGTGACCTCAGTGGATGGCACCAAGAGGCGCGTTCTCATCAGTTCTGACCTGAGCGAGCCCCGGGCCATAGCTCTGGATCCCCACCATGGGTAATTATGCAGACATTGCCCCCAGCGCTATTAATTGTGCAGCTTATATGCATTCATCATGGAGCCATGTCATTTTATTCATACTTCTGCAGGTGGATTGTCCTTGTTTTGTTTTTTTTGTTTGGTTTTTTTTGTAGGGTGGATGATTAAACTATTTGACGCTTAATTGAAATAGAAGGGTAGTAATTGGATGACAAAGTATGAAAAAAAACTGCTTTTTATGATAAGCATGTGGTCGAAACTATCCTCTAATACATGGTTTCTAAACCCTTGTCCTGAGAGCCCACTGTCCTACACGTTTCCCTGCCCCCAAACACCTGACCTGAATGAAAAAGTAATTAACAGGCTTTTAAAACATTTCAAGGCTGCCGAGGAGTAAATGCAATCATTTGTATCAGGTGTGTTTGAACAGAGACGCATCTACTGTAAAACACGTGGGCCATGACAGTGGGCCCTGAGGACAGGGAAACCCTGCTCTAATATATTCATACAACTCCAACCATTATTGGTCAAATGAAATTTTAATGGTTTTAGAGACTAACCATGTTTTTTTAGTCATCAGCAAACTTCTGCTTAAATCTAGCAGGATATTTGCTTCCTACTTATGGTTAAAAACACCAGAATTGAAATAAATAGGTTGATTTACTGTCATGGATCAGACTTTTATGCATTGCTCACATATTTTTTAAAGAGGATTGAAGTGAGGATCACTTCAAAACTTTTATTTTAGCCACCTCTATCTGCTTCAAACTTAAAGAAAAAGTCTGGTAAGCAAGGAATAATCAATGGATCACTAATACGTTCGCAGTAATTATAATATTATAATTACTATAATGAATTCAGCATTAATCAGTAAAAAAATCAAAAATAATAATATTTGTCGCGATCACTGAGTCTGGGAGCAGCCATTTTTACCCAAATATAGTAACACCTCAATCCTGACATCTTCCAGCAGTGACGTCACGGTGCGGTTAGCCTAGCGCCATTCTCCCCCCCTTGTTATTTCACCTTTTCCCATTCACGATCCTCCACGGACGGGTTTGTCGTTGGATTGCCAACTTGAAGAGGGAGGATTTGCCGTTGAAGTTCTGGCCAGAGAAGAACCACGTAATATGTAGCCAACATTTCAAAGGGGAATGTTTTCAAGATGACTTTGATAATAGTGCATTGTGACAAACACCAGATACAACATTGGGACTTGATCGATAGCCGATACCGCACTGTGACGTCACAAACCGGTAGGTGGCAGTAGTGTTCTTTGACAAACGCTGATGTCTCTGGTAAAGCACATTTAAAATAAATTGCTCTTAATTAAAAACACTTATCATTTATTGAACAGTGTGAAATTATTTACTATTTAAAGTACTTTCAGAAGTTTGAGTTCTGAATATGACCAGACTTTTCCCTTAGCATAATGCTACCACCACCATACATGAAAGCTGCAACTCACCTCTCAATCTTTCAGATACTCTTCCTTTACCTATCCATCCCAAAGAACAACATTTATATTTGATGCATCAATACACCAAGCTGAAAATTAGGCCTAGAACCTTGTTACAGCAAGGTAACAGTGCTCCAGAACTGCTCTGCTGTGCTGCCACTTTGGAACCAACTTTTTTTTTGATGAACTCAGCCTTCTTTATATTAGCAGTGGTCAAACATCCAGTAACAGTCGTGTTTGAAGCTCCGATGATGGCTCCTGTGCTATGGAGGATAAAAAGTGCCAAAATTAAATAAATAAATACAGCATTAAATAAATAATTAAATGTGTCAATAATTAATTAAAGTTGGAATTAAATAAATAAATGTGTCATTCATTAATTAAAACCACGTCACTAATAAAAAGTGCCACAATTAAACTTTTTATCCTCCATACTCTGCAACTTTGTAAAGATGTTTTACAAAATATTTTATAGCTGCTATCTTTTCATTTTACCCTCTGTAAATTTGAAAATCTTTTTCAAAGAGGTTGGTTCCTGGATTTTTTTTTTTTTTCCCCAAACATGGAAGCAAAAGGTTCAATCAAAGTTGGATTATTTATGCCCTTGACGAGTTGATATAAACTCTGTACTTTTCCAGCTGGGAGTTAAATCATTTATCAATCCCGTTCAGTGAGACAAAACTTTAATATCTTTGAATTGATGTACTCTCATTATTCATCATGGCTTAAAATGCTGTTGTGATTATTTTCAGCACAAAAACCTTTACTTGACCTTATTTTAAAAACTATGCTAATAACCTAGCCTCGTGCTGTGAATTTATACATAACAATCTGCAGTCCATCAGCATAATATGGTGTCAGACTGAGTTTAAAGGCACTAGAATACAATTATTCTGTTCTTTGTTATTCATCAGACTAAATTATTGAAGATTATTGTGACAGTGAACTCAAACACAGATTCCAGATGAACATCCTGACACTAAACAAATTAAATTTGCCTCATCTAAGCTCTTTCACACACTGAAATGTTTGTTACACAACCTCAGTCAGATTATTATGGATTTTCAAACACGTTATTTCAGTTCATTTGTGACGCTGTCTGTAAAGTTATATGAAAAAGCTTTTTTTTTTTTACAGTATCTCAGATTAAACTGTATGCCTGATAGAAACGAACGCTGAATGAAACAACAGGGGGTCTGGAGAGAATAACTTGATTCAGGACAGTAGAGATAAAGACCTAATAGAATCATAAGAACATGAAAAGTATTCTCATACTGAATATCATGTAAGAAGGATTTTCAATTTCAAATAGTTCACAGCAAAAGCAACTCCACTGCAGTAAAATCTGCTGTAACAGCAGTTCAGCCTTTCAGCAACAGAACCAGGAAGCTGTTTCTGATTTAATGGCAGGAAGTTCAGACAATGAATCCTTTCCCTACAGTGTCTCTGAAACCTATCTAGGACAAAGGATATGAGGCTGCAAGGACCTTCTCAGCTCCTCCACATGGCCATCTTTTCTACCTTTTAGCAGCAGGAGAACCAACCCTTACAAAAAATTACCTCCACACAGTAATTATTGGTTCAGTGTCCTCAGGTCAGGAATCTCATCTGAGCCAGTTTCAATTGTTCATTCTTGTTCATCTACCAGATGTGGTCATCTGAGATCTGTAGTCTGACAAAATCAATACCCTCCACTAGCTGAGTCTCCCTTACAAATGTGCACAAAATTATGCAAAGTTTTGCAGTTGCGGTATTTCTATTATAAAGCAAATATGGTTAGAGTTGCATACGTTTGTTCACACGATAACTATGAACAAAACATGGCAGAAACTGCTGATGTAAACACTTAAGATATGTCCTTATTTTTTCCGTATTTCAGCCACGGCTTTAGAGGGTTAACCTGACTCCGCCAGATGGATTTGCTCCGCATATCCATCTGGAAACCTTCCGTTGAAGTAATTTTGGGAAGGGGCGAAAATACTGGTTAGCTGATTGGCCTATGTTGGTGATAGACGGGCCAAATAAACCAATCAGATCAACGAAGCATATGACGTACTAACAGAGCGACGACGAAAACACAACCCCAAGCCGGGCTACTCTTGCCGAAACCAGTCAGGAGAACAGCAAAAACATCTTTTCCTCTGAGAAAAGCCTCCAGAGCAGTGTTTTGCTCTTCTTTCAGTGAAGAAATACTCTGTAATTCCGATAAAACTTGCTCGATAGCCACGCTAACGCTAGTTTCATCGGCTGAAGCCGCCATGTTCTTTAGACTGAACTGTCGCGCTTCTCGTTGCTCGATAGCCACGCTAACGCTAGTTTCTTTGGCTGAAGCCGCCATGTTTTTCCGTAAAAATTCAAAAAATATCCACTATACTTGGTTTTCAAGATTTGAAGACGTTTCGCTACCTCTCCAGGAAGCTTTCTCAATTCAAAAACTTTTACAGAAATACTATGACCTGCATAAGCTGCCATGTTCGTTAGACTGAACTGTCGAGCTTCTCGTTGCGTCACACCTCAACCCGCCTCAAAGCCAACGCTGATTGGACGTTCATTTGGTGAACGGCTCCAAATTTTCTTTAACGGAGAGTCTCCAGACTGATCTGCGAGTGAAACCTTGAAAGCTCGCGAGATCAGGATGGTCTCACAAGGCTACTAGAGGGTGCCATCATGCTCCAACCTATTCCATTCTTCTTCCTCATTTTTAAACAGTAAGGTCCAGCTGGTGATCACTTCACTTGTGTGATGCAAAAAAGTGTTTCTATTGCTGTTTTGCGAAATATACCAATTTGGGGAGTGGCGGCCTAGTGGTTAGGGCATAGGGCTTTGAATCCTGAGGTTGTGAGTTAAATCCCCCACTCCCACAGACTGCCACTCTGGCTCCCTGAAAAAGACCCTGAACCCCACACTGCTCCCTGGGCGCCGCACAATGGTTGCCCACTGCTCCCCAAGGGGATTGGTTGAATGCAGAGAAGTAATTTCCCTCTGGCATTATTAAGTATAAAAAACAAACAAAAAACAAAACAAATTTAGATAGCACCCAAAAAAAATACACCTCACCAGACTGTAAAAACTTTTTTATCGATAAACGTAATATTTCCATTTGGCAAATTCATTTTGTTAATGACATTTAGCCTAATTTGATGGTCAATGGAAACACAGCGACTCTCTCAAAAGCAGAGTTGTTGATGCTGACTGGTGTTTGTCGAAGACATGACCGCTGAAAATGTTTGTCCATATTTAGCACCAAGTTGTGTCTGCAGCAGGTTCCTATTTCTTTAAATTTTGCTTGTACATGTATCAGTCATTCATAGTCCATAAGTCCCTTTATTGAGGTATCATGTAAGGTTAAATTATAAGGTTTTGCCTTTTTGTAGATGGAGACACTTTTGTTTGCAGTGTAAACGGTGATGGACCGAACACAAAACCCTGAGGAAACCACATGCATGGTGAATGGCATCAGAGTTTACTATAATACCTCCGAAAGAAAAGTCACAATCCAGAGATGGATGGCATGAAAACATGGTAGTCTGTCCCAAGGTAGCTGCA